GGGTTTGAACCACCAGTCTTCTGGTTAGCAGTCAAGTGCCTTAGGCACTATGCTACCAGAGCTCCTGCTTTTATCATAAGGTATGTTTAAAAACAAAAACAAAGCCTTGTGTACTGTTACTGACATTTTTCCTTCCTTTCCAAATACTGGTTCTTTGTTCATTATTAGAATTTTATTTTAGCTTGTTGCCACATTATGCCCACATGGTGAGAATCAAGTATGTTCATCTTTACCTGTAAGAAACACTTCATTACTTTGAAGAATTCATATTTTTCTCAGTATTTTGCTTTTGATGGTTTGGCTTATGAAAGAAAGGCCCTATGTGATTTTCCTAACAAATCTATAATGTTGAAAAAGATTTAGTAACTATTTGTTAAAAGATAGCAGATGTTTAGACTTATTTATGAAATCATAAAATAGACTTTGAGAAACACTAAGGTTAGAGTTCATCTTATTTTACAACTGTAAAGACTGAAGCCCAGACAAGTTGACTTGCCTGGGGTCTTGTATCTAGGCAGTTGCAGCAGAGCCAGTTGAATTGCATTTCTTCAGAATGAGATATATCTGTGCTGAGAAAGTGAAATTTGAGCTGTTGTACACTTAGATAATTGAGATATTTCAGAAATGAAAGTCACCATTTTGTTTCCATATTATCTAAATGCCTTAGGAGCTTTTTCTGAATCTATTTTTGTTACTGAATCAGTCCGTTATAAATACTAAGGTATCAATGACAGTTACAAAATTTTTATATGCTCATTTTTTTCCTAATGATTCAAACTCTGTTATTATTTACATCTATTTCATGCAGATAGACACAACACCTTTTTCATAGATGTAGTGGCTGTTTTATGTTGTTAGGTGCCATTGGGTCAGTTCTAACTTATGATGACCCCGTGTACAACAGAACGAAACACTGCCTGGTCCTGTGCCATTCTCACAATCATTGGTATGTTTGAGCCCATTGTTGTAGCCACTGCATCAATCCAGCTTGTTGGAGGTCTCTTCTTTTTTACTGACCCTGTATTTTACCAAGCATGACGTCCTTCTCCAGGGATTGGTGTCTCCTGACTTACTGAATAGCCAGAATTAATTTTAAAAAAATAACACAAAATTACCCTATGAGGTTCCGGCAAGATGGTGGACTAGGCAGAAAGACTGCACAGACCCTCTTCAACAAAGAAAAGGGAAACCAATTAACACAGACACAGAAGG